GCTATGTGTCAGGCTTTTAACAACAAGTTTAGAAATGTAGCTGTCCGATTCTTTATCGGCTCCAACAACAAAGCTAGAGATCAGCAACAGGAAACACCAGATGTTGACTTACAGCTTTTATTGGACGTCAGATGAGAATCGAAATGAGCAAACAGTTAAGGGGTTAGTGACATGAAAACAAACGTTGATGTATGGATAAGCTTAGAGATGGGTATTCAGAAGTAACTCTTTAAAAGACAGAGAAGAAAGAGAGAGAGGAAGAGAAATGTGCAAAACAAACAGAAGTCTGGAGAAAGTTAACTTAACATTTAACCTGAAAAAGCATTAAAGTTCTTCAAAGCTATATTTAACCAAAGAAAACTATTTTTAAATATATTTTTACCTTTCACAAATTCTTTCACTTTAATAACACAAACTTAATTTTATTGGAATTTTCTGTGATTGAAATACACAAAATAATACATAATTCCAAATAAGAATAAAAACTGAGGATGCGGCTGGCCTTGATTTCCTTCATTTTGGGATGTGAACCAACCTTTTCTACAGATTTTATCTCTGAAAAGGTTCTGAAAATAAATGCTTAAAACTTTGATTTATATTCGAGAGCTGTAATTTCAAAAGTATTTATTGTTTCACAGGTACTACTTTGTAAAATAACATTGAAATATTGAAAGTGCCTTGTGATCTTATAACAATGTACAATGTCGGTTATTAAAGAAAATAATCTGTAGCGCTCAAAATCAGAATCAGCATGTCAGTTTTTTTAAAGATCAGGACTCAGTGATCAGCCAGAAACCTGCACCCCTAGGAAAAGTATGTTAGTTTTATAGCTTACGTACGTACCCACTTTTGTGTCATTTTATCTCAGTATACATACAGCTGTTATATTAATATTATGAAAAAATGTATTTTAGTCTTTTGATGTCAACTTCTTAAAAGTGTTCACACCTTATACACTAAGAAAAGTACTTTTGTGTTATGCCATTTTGCTTGCAGAACTAATCTCTGGTACTGAAAAAAAAATCACTCTTAGATTATTGCTTCTTTTATTTTCTCTTTCAAATTTGTCAAACACTAGCAAGCATAGTCTTTGCAAGAAAGGGAAGCCATCTCTGTAAAAAAAAAAAAAACAGATCAATATAATGACTATTATACACTGAATCTCTTTAAACTTTTAGTACCTAATCATACTTTTTATGAAGACTTAGGTTTCTTATAGACATATTACTAAGAGAGATTAAGGAAATTTAAAGAGCAAATACTTAAAACAATAAGGAGACCTCCATCATGTCAAAAAGTGCTTCAATCAGATGAGACTAAAATTGAAAATTATGATCTACATGTAAAATACTGTATGTTGCAGAAAAGTCATCTCCATAAGCACATCATCCCCCTAGTTAAAATGGTGGAATGTCAAGCCTCCACAGGGTATAATGCTGCCACTTCAATGTTTGGCTGTGGGGATCCTTTTTTTTTGTATACAGGTGGATTGTGACCAGAGTTGATGGTAAAATGGAGAGAAATAAATGCTAAATACTAAATGTATTATGAAAAAAAACACAGACAAGGTTTGTATTTCTATCTGTATAAAGACTTCACATTGACTTACATTGAGTTTAGGTACTGCAGTTATGCCAAACCACGACATTTTCCCTAACCCTCATTATTATTTACATCATACCTCTAAACTCTAAAACATACAAAATAAGGGTCCACCAGATTAGGACCAGTCTTTGGTCCCCACAAAACCTGTTGGTCCTCAAAAGGTTAGTAAATATACCAAAAGCGGTCCTGAATAGGTAACATAAACAAATACGTGCACACACAAAAACAGTTGGTGTCTGCAAACGAGGGGAGACTGGGGGAGGAGGTTTGTCTCCCAGTAGGACTATGACCCAAATCAACCAGCCACAGCAAGAATGGAATGGTTTAGATCTGAGACAGAATGGCTCAGTCAAAGTCCGGACCTAAATCCACCTCAGGCTGTATTTATCTAGCTATCCATCAGATCTAACTGAGCTTGACCTATTCTGTGGAGAAGACCAGGAAAAATATTCAGTTTCCAGATGTCCAAAGCTGTTAGAGACATACCCCGAAAGCTTTAACTGGAAGGAAGGTATTTTGGTTCTACAATAAATTGACTCAGGGCGGGGGAAGGGGGGTGTAAATATACAAACGCACATTTACGATATACACGTATTTGCAAAATAATTTGGAAAAAATACATTATAAGAACTCCATGTAAAATTGCAACAGTTTACAGTGAGTATGTCCCGCTGAAAAGCTTCTAGCTTACAAAATTGAAGCATGAATACTTTTAACAAGTCATTGTGATTTCCCAAATGTGAAGACTTTCTAATATCTACACTATAAGTCTGAGAATATTCTTACACTATTGCTCAGATTTATGTGTACATTAGCTGGTACAGCACTAGGACCCGCCAATGGAGCCAAGCTATAAAAAAAAAAAAAAAAAAAAACTCCAGGTTGCTAACTCAATTCACATCCAATTAAATACGAACCTGGAATCCAGGAGAGACCAAGCACTGATATAAGAATGCAGACCGGAGCAGCTGCTGTTATTCACATATCTATTATATTCATCGTAGCTTCCATTTAAAAATCTATTTGGCAAGCAGATCTGAAAATGTGTATTAATTGTGAACTATTTGGTTTGGCACAAATGGCAATTAGCATGACAAGCACAAAAGCCCCAACCCCCAAGGGGATCATTGCAACAGGCTCCTCTGTGCTGCTATACCTTCATTTGTCTGGACCTTCTCTCACTTGCTTAAGCTTTGGTAAGAAGAAGAGCCTGGGACATGCTGTATATCAATTAGGCCATCAAAGACAGGCGGGCATTTATTGCATTGCCCTTTAACCTCGGGGTGAAAGACCAAATTCCTTGCTTTTGCATGTCAAAAGAAACAGGTTCCAATAAAACCCGAAACAAAAATAAATATTTAGAAATATATGGCGCTTTTCTTCACATGTCTGCAAATATTAGTAATTTAGTTGCTTGGTATGAAATGAAAGTAGAATATAAATATAAAGTAAATCTATACAGTATTTTATCCTCCAATAACAGTGTCTGCAGCTTTACTCAAATACGGAAATTTTCAGGATGTTTGAAGGGCACTTCTTGAGACATTACCCGCACACTTGATTGAACAGCTTCAAACGATTTCCACCGCGAATCCCAAGAGACCACACTAATCCTGATCTTCTCCACAAGCAAAGGGATCATCTCAATATAAATCAGACAGCGCTTTTGATCAAAGTATTCAATCAGACTTAAACACATGACCCCACAAGAAGCCTCGCCGCCAACAAGGTCAAAATCTTGGTTTGTTCTCAAGCAAAGAAAAAAAGGAAGCTGAACAAGGCAAAATATTCTGCAAGGGAAAAAACGGATCGCACTTAAAGGGATAAAGGAAACATCACATCAAGAGAACGTGTCCAAGCAGCAGCCACTCGAGCAAAAATGAGGCCATCGGAGCCGATCAAAATACAATCTGATATTTCTTGACCATAATTGACCCTCTTCACTTTCCTTACTTCAAATTGAGCTTCCAGACATGTAAACAGACCAGTAAAACGTCCAGCTAAGCCTTAAAAAGCCCCCTTAAGCATAATGGACAACAAACACGTACGCACATGTCTCCTTGTGGGCCTGTTTTGTTTTCCAATTAGGGCCTGTCAATACAACCTGAATAATGACACTCCTTTCAATGAGTCTGATAGGCCTATTAGGCATGTGTGGAAATAATCAGAGTCACTTTGAACAACACTAATGTGAGGATGATCAATGTCAAAATATTACTTCATGCACATCAGCTCCTTTATACACATATACATGCTACATAAAACAAAGTTTTACAAAGTATGAAACATTTGTCATTGAAATAATTTAAATTTAAATCAAACATATAAGTATGTAAAAACTATCATCAGCATTAGTTAGATTTAATAAAGTTTACTAAGGTGCTATAACAGGGCAGGTTTTGTTTAAATATGGCATCAAGAAGGGTGGAAGACAAATGTCATCTAAACATGAGTCATTCTTCTCCTGGAAACAGTGGCGCCCCCTGTGGTGGGGTTTGGTCCCAATTAACCCTTGGATTTAGTGATTTAAACCACAAAATGTACCCAGAAACCCCTCAGTCTATTTTTATTTTTATTTTGATCCATAGAAACAAAAAGACCACTTGACAGGGGGGATCTCAAGAAAAAATACAGAAGTAAGTAATATATTGTTTAAGATATAATGTTAGATTATTGGATGATTTCCTTAAATCATTTTTGCCTTTTCTTATGTCCTTCATAGTGCATCAGCCATTCTTGGCTCTGCCCCAACTTCTTTCTCTGCATGAAAGCAGCATCACCAAACTGCCTAACAAGTATTCTACATTTTGGCTTTTGGTGTTCCACATCAGGATTATCACTGCCCCCCATCTGAACCCCTCTATAAAATCATTTTTAGATGCGTCTCTACCTTTGGAACAAAATAAAAAATAAAAAAAAACACCAGGTAAACAAAAAAAACAACAACAAAAGGTTCTTAATTGTTTGTGTTCAACTGCAGAATAGGAGGCAAGAATAACATGTTTCAATTATCATTCCACTGCACTGCGTGTCTCCCAGTGGCCATTAAAATGAATTATTGGGAAACTTGGCCTGCAAAACTCGCACATATCGCCATCTGCCTGCTGTCCGGGTAAGTTCATTATTTGGCAGTGCAATAAGTATTCTGCAGCCGTTTATATTTTTGAAATGGGCTGCTTTTCAGTGACAGAAAATAAATAAATAAATAAATAAAAACACTTTCCAATTTTCCCCTCACTGATCAGAAAACCTATTGTTGCCAAAACATGCAATCAAATCGATTCGCACCTCCAAGTCATCAAGAACAATCATCCTGCAAACAGTTTGCTGGGGAGGTCACGGTGAAACAAGGCAGAAAGATTCCCTGCTGATGTCTCTGGATTACTGCGGCTTACCTTGGACCTGCAGCGCCAACAGGAACGCCAACATCCCCGTGAACAGCCCCATGGCACCTCAACTATCCCGGAGCGTCTCTTCTGATAACCTGAGAGCGGCTGGACTGGTTTTACTCAGGGCGACAAAGAGAACACGCATGCAACTTCTGAAAATCCTTCCTCGGCGGCGCACCGACGCACCTCTTCCTCACTGCGCTGCAAGAGACTTTGGCTAAACTAGGATCTCGGCGGCGCGCCTGAATGTGCCAAAGCATCAATTTCACGTTTGCGATGATTCCCCCCTCCCCTGCTGGGTGGGCTGTGGAGAGTTTGCTCTGAATGGGTCCCGGGATTGAGATCCAAGCTGATGCAGAGTTCCAGTGGAGAAAATGTCAGATATAGGAGAGAAAGCGCAGCTGAGTTCTGTTCAGAGGGACTCTTTCAGTTTAAACATCCAGCCTTTGTTGCTTCATCCACCGCTGCGGCTGCTCCACTCTCTCTCTCTCTCTCTCCCTCCCTCTATCTCTATCTCTCTCCGCCTTCCTGTATTGTGGATCAGAGGTAAAGTGGGCGGGAGGTCCTCGATCGATGCTGCGTTGGGAAGTTTCCAACTTCAGGAAGGTAACTCCTGTTATTTTTCTTCCAAAACTCACACTTTGCCTAACGGCTCACTTTTTGCATTTTCAGTTCGGCAAGTTGTACATTCCTCCGGTCTGCAGACTGAGGACAGCAGAGGGAGAGAAAGCAGCACAGGCTGCAGCCAAATGAAGTTGCAGTGACTCTGGAAATCTCCTTGCGCGCACTTCAATCTCTTTGCGCACATTTCAATCTCTTTGCGCACATTTCAGTCTCTTTGCGCACACTTCATCGGGTGTTTTTTATACTTGGAAATGAAAACAGCATTGCTGGCCGCGCTTCGCGCCCTGCAGATCTGCCACCACAAAGTGTTACAGACTATTGCTGACGCTTTGTTAGGGATTGGGTGACGTTGGTGGTTGGGAGGAGCATAGCTGTCCTCACAGCAAGGGGTAGTGGCAAGGAATTCCCAACTACAAGGCGCAACTTTGGTGTAAAATGATGCAAAATAATAAATAAAATAAGAGAAACGGATTGGATGGCAAGGGGAGGGATACATTTTAGAGATGTTGTGGTGAACTTTGAATAAAATAGAAAAGAAAATCCATTTATTGTCCCACAATGGGGACATTCTGGTGTTTACAGCTGCAAAAAAGTTATAGAAAAAAATATTCACACAAATATGGACGTTAGAAATAAAGTATAAAAATAACATACTAGTGATGACTTAAAAGATAAACAATAAAATACTGTACTGTAAAGTGTTTTACCAGTATAAAAAATGCACCTGAAGAGTAAATGACCAATATCCAGCTAAGGACATTTGTACAATAATGGACATTTGAAAATAGCAGCAACATCAGAGATGTGCAAAATGACAGCAGCATGTTATTTACCTGACTAAAGTAGAAACTGCAAAATCAGCATGGATGTAGCAATTTATTGAGGTTGTGGGGAACAGTGGTGGTTGTATAGTCTTACAGCTGCTGGGAGGAAGGATCTGTGATAACGCTCCCTGATGCATTTAGGGTGCAGCAGTCTGTCACTGAAGGAGCTCTTCAGTTCAGCAACAGCTTCATGCATGGGGTGGGAGGCATTATCAAACATATATTTTATTTTAGTTAGGATCCTTTTGTTTCCCAACTCCTGCACTAAGTCCAGAGGGCATCCAATCACAGAGCGTGCCTATGTGATCAACTTACGTAGCCGCTTTCTCTAAGCTACAGATAAGCTATTGCTCTAACAGAGAGCTCCATAGAAGATGGCTGATACCACAACAGAGTCATACAAGGTCTTTAGGAGCACTTCTGAATGAATTTTCGATTACATATTCAATCATATTACAGATACATGTTTAAATCAGGCATGAGCGATTGCTTGGTTAGTATGAAATGTTAAGTAACAGATGGTTATGTTTTAAATCTATACATTTTGGTATTTTAGGTATTCAGGTTTTTTTTTAAATGACAGTAGGGCAGGATTGTTGCTAGAATGGAGTGAGCAACAATGAATGATAATATTTCAGACAATTTAACATTTACATGCAAAGGGATAAAGATGCAAACATTATGAGGGAAGAAAAATAAGTTTAGAGGTTTTGTGCAAGAAGATGCTTAGAATATCTTAGCTTGGAATAATTTGTGATAGGTGATGATTTGATATGAAGATGTGACTGGCAAATATTTAAGTTTAAACCAAGGTCACACAGGCTGTGAAGGGGCTAAAGAGCAAAATGAATATCCTTTAGATCTAATGTAGAGTTTGATGAACCTGTAAAAAATGCTAATTAAATGCTTTCTTTTGTTTGTTTTTAGATTATCATAACACTTTATACAAACATATGAAACCTGGATGCAAATTGTTAATCGGTGTCACTTAGTGTAATCCTCCTAATGTATTTTCAAAACTATGAGGATGCAACTCCATAGATGAACACATTTTAAATGTCTAAAGAGCTGGTTAAAGAGAACGTAGAGTCACATTTTTAAGACTTATATTTCTGTCGTCACTGAAGCAACACAATTCAGATTGAATACCACCTTTCTCCCGTTATTTTATTTTCTCGCCATGGTGAACTCTCATACATGGTTTGTTAACTAATACTTAAAAAAGAGCTCTTCACAACCTCAGATTTTGCAAACTTCCCTTTCTGAGGCAATAAAGGATTCTCATGACAGTCTTATGAATCATTACTCCATTTACTGCAAATCAATTATAATATTGACAAAGTGTACATTTTTGTGTGAGCAGAGAAGTACCACAGATCCCCTCAATGGCGCCTGAAGCAACCACAGCGAGAGTTCATGCGAACCACAAGCTGAATAAATAAATCGGGGGGGGGTCAGAAAAGGCTAAGTTATGATCTGATCCACTACATATTTGAAGTGAAGTAAGAATTTTCTAAATTAAATGCAGAGGAAGTGATGGCTCCTCTTATAATGATTTTACTCCTGGTAAAATTAGTCATTATAAGCGTGTGAGTGGGTGGAGAAATGTTTTACCACTAGTCCATCTGTACAAACAGACTAAATATATATGAGTCACATTTCCTAATGTTTTTTTTTTTTATGTTTCTACTTTTATCCCTTTTTCCTGACACATCTGGACAGGATCAAGACTGTGAGGTAAATGAACGGTGGGGTGAATGTGATAACACTTCCCTCTTGTGGACGGCGATTCCTTTGATAATTACAGAGGATCAGGGTTAAATTACTGTTAAGTTTTAGGCCAGCCAGTACCAGAGCTTCATTATTAACATTGTTAATAATCATTTTGAAACACAGCACTGTCCCTGATGGAATATAAGGTTTTCTGATTTTACTGATGCCTAACAGCAATTTTGTTTTTGTTTTTTTCTTATTAAATATACCAACATTATGATACTTCCTTCCCTTTGTCTTAGTTTTGGTCATCCACAACCATAAATAAATAGACTTATTTCTTTTGGACCAGATTTATGGAGTGAAAAACTCAATATTGTTTGATGACAAATATTCCCACCTGAGATTTGGACATGTGCAGCTTCTCAATAGTTACCTCATTCCATATTAAATTTGTCCTTGGCTTGTCTGTCATTTTAGGTGGGTGGCCATGATTTCCTGGATTTGCAGTCACCTTTCTCTTTCCATGATTGAAAAGTGCTCAGTGAGATGGTGAAAGCTGAGGGAATTGTTTTATGTTCTAACTATGCTTTTAGCTTTATAACATTATCCTCTGACCTTTAATCTGATAACCTTGATCTTCAAATTGTGGTTTGTTTAATAATATTTTGTATTCAACATAACACCTTTTTTTTTATCCTGGGATTAAATTACTCTTGTGTCGACTCTATTAAATATGTGATCTCCAAAAGGAAACTGGCTGGAGCTTCAAATGGGGTTATTAGAGTTGTTAGGAATAGATACAAAAAACTGTTTTATGTCAAGAATACAAAAACCCATCTCTATACATAATTATTGTCTACATTTTTTTGATTTATGACACAAATGACAAAAATTTTAATCCAATGTACATACATTAAATTGTACTGTATTTTTTTAGGTAATCAATTCTAAAAATGTTTAAATTGAAAAAAATGATATACTGGTAATAAAAAAAGAGAACAATTCTTAATAACTTAGCTGGTTTAAAGTAACAAACATTAAAAAAAGATTAGGAAAACTCCATCCCATAGGTGAGTAATTTGTCCACACTAGCAATACAGTTGAATGTGATAAGACTAAACATTCACACAAGAACAACATAGATAAACTCAAGACCTGACATTCAGTTTTGTCAAATGTAAAGTGTTCAAGAAAAGAAAAATACTACTGCTTAAAATTCTGCAAGCTTGTCCCAAAGAAATGATTTAAACAAATGTAATTGTGTCAACAGAATGCTGTTCGCAGGCAAAATGTATTATGGCCTATTGGCAAGGTACATACAGGAAATGGAAATCCATGGATGTCAAACAAGATAGCAATAGTTTGTTCAACAGCTTGGAATAAAATATACACCATACATTAGAAAATGTTATTTGATGCATTTTATCATTTGGAAGATAATCATTTTATGATGTAAACCTTGAAAGGTCAAAGCTACAGTAGGACTGGGAGACTGAAGACGGTAAATCGAAAAGAACAGGATAATTTGAATATGAGAAGGAAGGAAAGATAAAGTCATCTCCTTCAAGGTCAACTTCCTCCAGTGTGCCCCTAAGCAAAGCCCTCAGTGAGGACCAGGTGCTCGCTGGATCCTGGGACCAACTCCACAGCGTGTAGCTGCATGAGTCAAATATCTGCTCAGAAGAAAGGGTAAAAAAAAACAAAAGAAGCCTTCATGCTTGACCAAACCTCCTGTGAAAGATAAGAGGTTAACAAACTTTGGGTGTGCCCCTTGCCTTTTGTGTTATAACTCAGATGTACCCTTCTTTGAGCGGCAAAGGTGATTGATTTACAAGCAAACTGATGAAATCTGATACACTGATCTTGAACTACTGACATTAGCAAAGCTCAGGGCTCAGACCTGTGCTGCTGTGGATATAAAGGAACCTTCCAGTATGACAATGCCTATCTGGAGAAGTACAAGGAAAGTTAAAAAGTTAAAATGTAATAAGTGAAGATTGATCGGACTTTGGTTATCTGTAGAAGATAAGAGAGTATTGTTTGAGTTGATTGATTAGTTCCTTTGTTCATTAAAAAGAAAACAAAATTGACTGCAAATATATTTGTATAAAAATGACAAGGATGCACCATTTAAAGTATATAATTAGCAAACTTAAGGACAAATATGAAATATCCTTGAAAGGTGGGAGATAAATGTTTTTGCTTTGTAATTTCAACATCACGTTTGTTCTACTCTGGCTAATCAATACAGTTTTGTTGTGCTTTATTTTTATGTAGCTAAAATCGCAAATATTATATTCCCATAACACAATAGTATATCTGCCTTGTATTCCTCTTTAATGGCACAGGAAGATGTGTCTCCTTTGCATGACTTTGCTACGTCTTTAACATTGTATCATACACACTTTAAACACCAGCCACATTCACAAAACTACTTTTGGATTTTTGTACAATGAAATTCTTCTGTTCAAAAATAGATGCAATGACCCAGTATTAGCATCAATTTATCTCTTGCAGAACTTTGCAAGTGATCTGTCAGTGCTGGCGAAGATTCAGTCACGCCAGTATGATGGATCCTTGAAATTAAAAAGGAAAAACAAAAAGAACAATGCTCACATTCCTAGCCTTGATGATGATGAACAAATTGGTGGATTGGTTGCAAAATCAAAACCTTGATGTTTTGGTTGATGTCTAAGCTTAAGGCCCAAAATGTTAAAGCTAAATTATGACTGGCCCTCACCAGTGATTACCAGGAACACATATAGATAGACATTAATGATGACTGTTTTACTTT